CACCTAATATATATAGCCCCTCTGTGTGCCTTTTTGTCTCCCCCCAGTCCCTCTGTATGTTTCTTTCTCCCCCTCACTGCTCCTCTGTGTCTATGTCTTCCCTCTCCTTCCCAGTCTCTCTTTTGCCCCTCTGCCTCTCTTTCTCCCCCTCCCCTTGTGTGTCTCCTTTCTCCCTCTGTGTCTCTCTTCCACTCTGTGTCTTTCTCCCTGTAAGGATCTTACCTTGAGTGGGAGTCAACACGCAGAGTTTAAAGCACCCTTTACAATTTTACCTCAGCCAAGGGGACTCAAGGCAGAAATTCCCAAGGCAGTGAAACAGTGCACTGGGGCTGATAATAACCAGTGCATCCAGGAACGAGGTACAGGCAATGAATATCCAAAAGAGTAGTCAGGAACAGAACCAGTAGTCAGGACAGGCAGCAAACAGGCAAAACGAAGGACGAGCAGAGGCTCAAGAACCAGGAGTCAGATAAACAGCAAAGATACATGACATTATTGCACAGTCGTTATTCGGCATGTGCCAACCTTTAACTTTAATAACACTCAGACACTAATAAGTTCTGTTGGAGTATAAAGTCCACAGCTTTATTAATTAATATAAATATATAAATTAACAATTTAGGGTCAATGTCAACAGTACTCCTTTCGTTCCGCTCTCTCCTGTACCATACCCCCGACAATGACACTACCAAACATTAACATAACTAATAATACATAACATGTAACTCACGGCCTACCAAGAGGCCCCACCTCCATTTGTCTAACTGCAGGGGTGTACCCAGACACCCCTACACCCCTTGGTTTGTAGCCACCGATGGGCTCGAACCTACCTCCACCCTTTTTTACTCCGGCCTACTCCAGCCTAGACCTTGGCCTACCAATTTCCTAAGCCACCAAACTTCCTGTTTAACCAAGACATTTTCCGCCACAGCACTTGCCTTGACCCCTTAAGGACATGTGCGACCCCCACCACACAAAAACAGGGCTTGCGCTGTACCTTCCTGCAAACCCAAGTTAAAAAGGTCACAACCTACATCCGACAGGTACACCCCATCTGCTCGAAAGTACCCGGGTAACTTTTCCTCCAATTCCCGATGGCGCATCAATACCCCTCCTAACCTACGAACAAACACCGCCATGGTCTTGTTCACCTTACCCCGACATCGAGCAACTGCAGCCGAATCCCTGGCATGTCTCCAGCACAATCGAGGCACCATCTCCGACCATACCACTTTTACGCCCGGGATCATCCCCCGCAGTCGATCCACACCCTGCTTCATTCGTTTAACCAGTTTACGTTGGGGGACCAAATCTAAGTCGTTTCCCCCCCCCCATGAACTACTACCACATTTGGTAAAGCCTCCTTCGCAACCTTTTGAAACATCGCTATACTAATGTGCTGTCAATCAAACCCCCGATAACCAAACCAGGATAACGCCACCCGTTCCACAGGAAAGCCCAGCTGTGTTCCGTTTCTTCGAACTGCGGCCCTCTTCTGTGCTCAATAGATATACGAATGGCCAATTATCCACACCGTCCAACCTAAAAGAAAACACAACAGCGAAAAAGCAGCATATACTCCCCCAAACTCTCCCCACATTGTCCACCTCCTCACACAAGTCTATCCGGCCGCACATACGAGCGGAACCTTAGAGATTCCCATCTCCCGATCCGTTTAATCCGCTCATCTCCTAAGCCCAAGCGTGCCGCTTCAGTCGCTGCACCTATACAGAATGAATGTGTTCCGAACTGCATAGGCTCCAGTCCTAACTTCTGTAAGCCCAAACGGAAAACCCGCACAAATTGGAAGCGCAACAGCGCTGTTCCGTCAGCATGTATAAAGAAACATCCTTTCACCTACGGTCAACCCGGCCCCACTCGCCACTGGACACAACCCAGACCCCGGTAATTCAAACAACGTGACCATGGAACCTTTCCCGAAGACATCCGTCTTTGAGCGAACCAGTCATATCTTTACCCTGTCCCCACCAACTGTCACATCTTCCAACCTGAGCCCGCCAACCCCTTTCTTGTTGGCACTAACCAATTCCCCTATCCCCAATCCCCCTATCCGAAACGCCCCAAAAAAGGCCCATGAAAACGCTGCCGAAAACAACGCCACTTCGAACGTGGAAAACATATCTCAGGTAGCTTGCCTATCAACCCTTGCAATACCGTGAACAAAACTGGCCTTCTCATATCTCTTCTTACCCTTCTTGAATCCCCGTACCGCTTGCCTCACTATAAAATGCTTCGTCACATCATCCCAGCCATTGAACTTGAACAGGAATGCTAACGCTGACAAGTGCCTATCCACCATCGACGGCGATGATTGGTTAGTTTTAACCAAGGCAGCATCGCACCTACCTTCACCGGTGACACCCCCAGCCGCAGTTGCTGTAGCGGAGCGGCAATATTTAATCCCACAAACTCCGCTGGTAAAGAAGGTAATCCACAGTCAAGCGCTGAAAAGTAAGGCAATATCCCAAATCCCCCAGTAACCCGACAAAACACAGTTCTGGGAGTCAACTGAGGTTTTTATTCACAGCATCCAGTATTTATGCAAGTCCCCATGCAAGGGGTTTCCATACTGACATAGTAGGGGTAATACAGTAGGGGACTACATGGGGGACTTAACATTCAGACCTTTTCTCCCATCAGGCACTGCTGCACGAGAGGGATACTCCCACTGGAATATACCGTTAAGTGGATTATCCCTCCGTGCAGCAGAACCGACAATTTACATTAAAATATATAACTTTTCGAATACTTGGCAGATTTAAACGAATGGACGTTCGGTAGATAGCTGTGGTCTGAGTGCATAGTTTGTGAAATACCGCTCAGATCTCAGCTAAAACAACCGAACGCTGCACGAAACACACTTTGCCATTGAGTTCGCCCCAAAGTACCGAACACCGATGGGGAACCCTAATAGCGAAAGACTGGAGCTCCCGAACGGCCTGGAAGTCCAGCGGTGTTCGCACCGTCGAGTAGCCGTTTTTAGTTCCACACGCTCGACGACCAAACACCGCTGGGGAGACAAAGGATCCAAGATGGCCGACCGCCACGTGGTCGGTAGCCGAACGACGGCCACCCAGGAAAGCCTCTAATTAACATTGTTGCAATCGGTTAACGAGCGCCACACGTCCCTCTCTGTGTGGGCTATTAGGGGGTAGCTCATTCGGTTCACGAACAGCCCGCAATGGTGCTGTTTGTGAAACGAAACACATGAATGCTAGCAG